TTTCGTAAGAACCCTTTCTTTTGTGGTGAAAATGATGCTGTACAAATGCTCTGGAGTTTTTTTCGATAAAATTCTTCAGTAATCAATGGAATCCGCTCTTCCGCTTGTCACGCGACTTCTGAATGAGACTGGCTATGCCATTGGTTTTTCAGTTGAAGAAGGCAGTTGTCCGATTCGTAGCCTGGGGCCCCACGGACGGCGGCTTGTTAATTTGTCAGAAATCCTCAACACTTGTCGCCGTCGCGGATCAAGAAGCTGGTTGATTAAGGTTCTGATCGACCAGAAGTTGACGGGGATGACACTGGAACCTGTAAACTTCTTCCAATATGTGCAGATTTTGTTCAAATTTGAGATCAATGAAGGAGGAAAACTCATATTCATCGCTGAAGGAATCAGGGAAAAAAATATTGACATAGTTCTCCGTCTCAGGTTCTTTTTATGAGTCCTGGATTCTATGAGTTGATAATTTATTGATTAATATTTTCAAATATAAACAATATGGAATTTTAACCTTTAACTTGCTAATGCTGGTTCTAGATTTAGAAGGATCTTTAAATACAATCTTTAAATTCAGAGTAGACCAAGCTTGACACACTTTTGTTTTATTTTTCATTCTGTTTGTGCGCTTTTATATTTAATTCTTCTGTTATTTAGTTGACTTATTATCTGTTTTTATCGTAATTATTAAATGGTTTTTTCGATTTACAGTTGGAATATTGGATTTATGTTGGGAAGGAATATAATTTGGAGTAGAAGAAAATATGTTCCAATTGCGGATTCACTTCGAGTATTTCCAATGGGTATGCAACATATGAGGTATTTGATATGAATTTAACTTTCACTATATAATGTTTGTCAACAATTGGGAAGTTGTTCTTTTTCACTATATTAGTGTAACAGTGTTGATACTCTGTTCTTGGTACTGTTGTCTTGCATCTCTATGCTATTGATGCTTGCCTTCTATATAGAGCGCATAACATGTGCGGTGATGCAGCCGTGGTCCCTGAGGCCATAGTTAATTCAAACAGGTCACCACTGAGGTATATACTTTTCCCCAATCTTCCACGTGATAATTTTCGTTTTGGGTAAAAACTTATGGGAATTGTCAAACTTTGTCAAAAGTTCTTGGCCTGACAAACAGGAAACACTGATGTCTCAATTAATGATTTGTGTTCAGAATTAGTTAACAGAGTCGGACGGACTGAGTTGATTGTAACGAAAGTATAAATTACAGAGGATGCAGATTTTTGGTGTAATGACGTATCCAAGCCTGTAGATGTTACAAGCTATATAAGTTTACTGAATTATTTTTTGACAAAATAAACATCAGGAAGGAAGAAAGTCCTCAAACTGAGAATGACCATTCTGTGAAGCACACAGAAGTGAATCCATCAAAGAGGTACTCATTTTGTTTTTGTTACTCTTTTTATCGACGTTATTTATTTAGATATGGATCATATTATGATTTTCTTTCATTATTCCTGCTTCTTTTAAGTGCTCTTCCATTGCCTCTGTTCTTTTAAGTAATGAATTCTTGTCAAAATACATCGAATGCAAACTGTAGGAAGGAAAAAGGTTTGGACCTGGATAACGATACTGATGCTTTGATTCGGAGCAAAAAAGTGGCGTCACCAGAGAGGTAATATTTTTCACTTTCAGTAGTGAAATTAAAAAAAAAAAAAAAAACATTTCTATGTTCTATGATTTCAATTGTTGACAAATTGGTATTCGAGAAATCTACTCTGGAAAATTTTAACAAATTGAAATTGAGAAGAGTAAGAAAATAGAAACATCAACATCAATTGCCAATTTTCTCATCCAGTTCTTTAGAGTATCATCCTTAGTAATTGTTTGAGACCAGATCATAACTTCGTTTTCCCACAAAAACCTTCTATATGTAAGTAGAATAATGATATAACATCTTTGTTAAAGTTTTTCCGATTTAGTTTCATTGGATTTTTCATTACACACAGTTGTAGATCGAACAAAGTGGTGAAAAACAAGTAACTTACTAAATCTCAAATTATCGAGAACAAGGCTTATTTGGGTTTTTAGTTCATAAAATTTGTCTTCGTTCTGCATCATCGTCCTAAGGCAGAAAAATTGTCCTTTGCACTAAGATAAGGTATTTTCTGTCCTCGCAAAATCTTCATCTGAAATTCCTCTGAGCACCATTGGTACATTAACCTAGGTAACTATGGACAAGATTAAAGAAAAAAATCATTTAAGGACTTGTCTCCATTACAATGTGCAGAGTTGTACTATCAGTAATGCAATACTAGTCATGCCCTGAATATTAGCTTATTTTGCCTACCTAGTCGTGAAACTAATGCAGGAAGACAACCACCACTTATACACCATTGAATGGATCCAAACATGATACATTCGGGACCAAAATTTCAAATTCAAGTCAAATGGAACCCCTCGAGAGGGAGGGAAATGGTCCAGAT